CGTTGGCAATTAATATTTGATGCCGTATGGCCCCCGTTTTGGCCTCTACCCGCTCTGTTCTTTAGTTTCTTTATAAAAAATGTGGTGTCTCCCTTCGAGGAAAATTGTCTCCCACTTCCATGTGTTTCACGATACTGGATGCCGGCTCCCACCTCTCCATCCTCACCCTTCCTGATTCCATTCTTTTTGCTGCTTATCATATTCCTCCCGAGGGATTATCCGTTCATCTTCGATGCACCCTTCGCGTTATGGTGTTTAATCTTGTTCGAGCCGCCACGCATGACTTTCAGCATGGCGCCCACCTCCCGTTCTACTCAGCAAAAGAGCTGAAGGAGTTAAAGTTTTGGGTGACGCGATTAATGGCGCATTTCGTATGTCCGAACATGGGGAACGGAATCTCCCATTTTTGATTCATCTTCCATCTTAGGCATTGGTTGCCCGTACGTATAAGTCTTTCACCGAGGGGACCGCCAAGGGAGACCTTGGGTGGGCCGTTTGTTCGTACACAATTCCCGGAGAAGCCTTCCAAATGCTCCAGTTAATGGCGTTTCTGGCCCATCACATTGGTTATGACAAGACCCAAGGGTGGAATGTCGATTTAAGCCCCGTTTTGCTGGTTCCCCTGTTCCATGCAGCGTGCCGTACGATGCGCACGTCGAATTCCACCGCAGAATATCCCGAGTACGACCATGAAGGTCGTTTGATTACTCCCGTGGTCCTTCCCGACGTAGAAACCCCTCTGGTGTTTTCGCCAACCCCTGGGGCGGATTCGCCGGTGTATTCGATGAATCGCATGCCCATGGGCGGCCCAGGTCCATTGTTATAATTGCCGGAAGATTTCCTCGGGTACTGATCCATGGTTTATCCCCTTCTTCCCAGTTCCTCCGTTGTATATCTTCGATAATTTCCCTATCGCGCCCGTTCGTGACGCCGATGGATTCTTCAGCAGCAATTAACCCCCCCCAACCCCTTCCCATTCTAGCCTTCCCCAGAAATTCCCGAACTCGACTTATGCTTGATTCCTTCCTTCCCCATGCAACTTCTTCTTCACACTCTTTCCGTTAGCGACGCCCTCCACCTCCCATTTCCCCAGCTAGTCTCGCGGATTACTGGACAGATGATTATAAACATGTGAAGATGCCGTTCGTAGTCCGCGTTCCCGTCTATCATGTGTGCTGACGATTGTTGATTTTAACAGGGAATTCCTGTATTTTTGTATGGGGCATATTTTGATGTCCGTCTTCAGGGTGATCAAGCCCGTCCTCAAATATTTTGTAGCACCCATGTTGTAATTTTGATCGTAAAGTCATTGGACGGGTGTGCACCCCTATCCGTTCCGTTTATGGACAGTTGCTGTCCGATTATCGCTTTGTTCATTCCGTTATCGATTGTTACACGCGCCGCCGAGTATTCGCTGTCCTTTTCCGTCCTTGTTGCATTGTTCCGAGTATTCGATCCCGTGTTGCGTAGCACCCTCATTCCCATTTTTGCCTACCTTCCGTTGTACCCTGGTAAGTCCGGCCCGTATGCCGATCATGCCGTTGTTCCCATCAACTTTGATCCGCGGGACCTGAACTTTAGACAGGGCTCCAATTTCGTGTTATAAACCTCCTCGTTTGTTAAAAAAAATCGCTTTCAATGATTCCGCATCCCTAGAGGAACTCCGGAGAGCTGCCAGATCCCGTGATCGTTTGTTTGGACGAGTTTGGCCCCAACTGGCCAGTTTGTGTCTTTTACCATTATCATCGCAACCAACGCCCGTTCTTGTACTCGTCGTCTCCACTCCACCTCACCCACTCTCCCGTTAACTACCAGAATGTCGTCCATGGAGAAACAGTCGTCCGACGATCGTTCCCCGTGCTCCCCGCGGTCGGATATGCCATGCCCGTTCCCGATTCCCGTTCTTGTGAGCAAGCCAATTTCCTCCGTTATCGACGCTCCTGCTCGTGTTCCCATTTCCAAGGCCAGCAGACCTAGTTCTCCCTCTGGTTCTAAAAATGGTGGCCCGACCGAGGAGTCGAGATCCATTTTCCACTACCTTCCCCAGGATTGGACCCAAACGCACCCCAGCTCACCTCACTCCCCCTTCATTCGAGCATTGTGCTCCCCCGTTCCCCTCGTTAATCCAACCCTGGAGGACTTCCTTATACGTATTCGGGCTTTGGACCGAGAAAGTCTCCGCATCCAAGATTGTTTGGCCGTGTTGGAAGAGGATCTCCTAGTTCCTCTTCCTACCACCCCTCCTTCTGCAAACCTTTCAACTGAAATCGCCCCTTTTCCTTCCTTCGACATTCCTCGCCCCGCTCATCCCGAACTGGAGGAGATACAACCAACCCACTCCTTAGACGACGCTACCCGAATCGCCGAGCATAACGAAAAACTGGAGGCCGAGTATTCGATAGCGCGATCCGATTATGAGGTGCTGGTTAGAGACCACATCACCCGCCGTACGCAGTACGAGGAGGAGGAGAGGGGGAAAAGAGAGCACGCAGCAGAAAACGAAGAGCAAGGGGGCCGCGTTAATCCAGACGAGCAGCTCCATTCCATCCAGGTGGAAATCCAACGGCTCTGCGTTTACGCCACTCGGTTGGAAAGTTGCCATGTCGAGGCTACCATTTGGCACGGTCAACTCTCTGCCCATCTCGACAACCAACGAACCGCCACGGCCCTCTTCTTCGAACAGGCGAGAGCTCTTGTCGATCTAAACCGGGTTCGCCAGTCACTCGGGGACTCGTCGGTACTGCCCCCTTGTCTCCTTGCTGCAATGGAGTTCCTATCCGAGTGGCGCGATCTCGAAGACAGAGTCCTCCTTCCCCTCGCCAGCCTTCCTGCCCCCATTCCTGGTTCGTCTCCGCGTCAAACGGGGTTTTCCCGGGCTCCGTCCCCCGCAGAACCTCGTATTTCCAAGAAAAAACGGAAACGGGTCGACGGGGATGAATCGGAGACTGGAAAGCCGTCCCGAAAACGAAAACGGGCTGAAAATGGGGCACTCGACGAGGTACAAGCCAAGATCGACGACTTCGCCAACCTATACGCGCACCGACGCGCCTCCTGGAATCCCATCTGCATTCTCGCGAAAGAGGTTCAGGGAAAGTATCTTGCTGTTGGACCGGTGAGCACCTTTCTTTTCTGTCCGGTCCCTTCCTGCGTTTAATCCCCTTTTTTGCGTGACAGGGGTGCGCACGATGCTCTGAAAAAGAGCTTCCCTGCGTGTCTCTTTTTGGCGAGGAAACGAAGTCGTGTGTCCTCTGTCATCGCACTCATATGGGATGTTCGACGGGCGCCACAGTCCCTATTTCTCGAACCCAGAACTTCGTGGACTTATGGAATCGTTCGTGGTTTTGATCGCTTTTATTGTCGAAATTCCTCCTAACATCTTCCCCACAGTTTATCTTGATCTCTCCGACGGCGTGCCACCGATAATAACCAACCAGCCGAAGTCCTTTCACGCTCGACTCGCGACCTCCGGGATAGATGACAACCAGAACAATCCTCCCGCCGTTCCCTTGAAAAAGAAAGGAAAAGCTCGTGCAAGGAGGGAACCCACACCACCTTCTTCGGATCCCAAGGGTGAAATCGGGCCCAAACCTTCCCGTTCCACCCGTCGCGTCCATGAAGAAAGACCAATTCGCCCCGCTTCTCCCCCTCTCGCCTCGTCTTCGGCGACCCGTCTCGAGGACTTACCCCAAGCTAGTCCCTCATCGAGCGTTCCCCTACACCAATCCTCCCTATTCGACGTGTTAGGAGAAACCGCCGCCAACCCATCTTCCATCCTCAACCGGTCGACCGAAGAACTGTTCGGCCACGTGTGCAACTTCCGCGTTCCTCCCCTCGTCGAAAACGGGGACGAAGCTGCAGCCACTAATCGTTTAGTCGCCCGCCTCCTGTACATTCAATGGTGCCACCTCGACTACGAAAGATGGGCCTATTTCTGCGCCGGCGGACGTTTCTGGGCCGAATACGTGGACGTCATCCATCCTTCCCGACTCGACTCCGACCGCTACCGTGTCTCGAGGGCGAACAACCGCCGACTCCCCCTACTTCCCATCGTCCCCCCCGTTCCCGGCGAGGATCTCTGGTGGAGGACTACCGCGGCGAATTTCCATCCCGAGATGGGGATGAACCCCGAAGGCCCTTATTTCGGATTCATGGATGGCTTGTCCCACCCCCACCAGTATCGGGAGTTCAATGGCGAACTGAGACAATGGAACCCTCGCGAGCTATTCCGAACCTTTCCAACTCCTCGACCATACCACATGAGTCGTGCTATTCCCGTTTCCTTCGTTTCTTGATTACTTTGGTCCAGGAACATCTCTTCCTTCCTTCTCCTTCCCAGGAGTTTGCTCGCGCGATGACCCCTGTCGCCCCCGTCATTGACGGCCCTTTAACGGGAGTCTTTGCTCCTCCTGATACTGATGAGACTGCCGACCAGTTCCGCTCGATGAGCCTTCGCCCCACCGAATCGTCTTCCCCATGCCCTTCCCCCACCACCTTAAAACGGGAGGTTGACAACGATCTGCGAGGACTGACTGGCAAGTTTGATGCCGAGGAAGGAGCATAACCCTGGAGCCTATTAGAGGAGGGTTCCTCTAGAATATTCACCTTATACTTGTGTTTTTAGTAAAGTGACAAAATGATCCATCGTCGCCACTAAAAAAAAAAGATACGAAGACCGAGGACGAGTCGGATTTTTCCTTCTCAGTGGAAATCTGCGTAAGTCTAGATTAGATAAGATCCTGACCGCGCCGCCATTCCGCGTGATCGGAGCTGTCAAAGAAGCAAAGCCTTGATTACATCACGTTGTCGGAATACCGCCCCCCTGTCCATAGAACGGAATTCCTGTCGTCCCAAGGAATGGTCCCATCGTTTGGCACGAAGCACTCGGGGACCATACTCCATAATGGCTGACTGTTAAACGGGCCCGCTGGGCCATTCTTTCCCGCCGAACAGGGTTCTCAGCAGTTCAATCGGCTTCTTCCAATGGTCATCAACATCTCATCGACCCGATGGTCTAATGGTTAAGACGCTCAATTTACTGGCCAGTAAAATGAGAGGTGCGCGTTCGAGTCGTGCAAGGGTCATTACAGGCCACATTCCAAATGATCCCACTGGTGGGATCATCTGGAATGGGCTGTAAGCACCTTTTTACGCCGTCTCTGCGAGTCCCTTTTGTCATTTTTCTCGTATCCGTTGTTGATACCAGACCGCTGAATGTTGTGGAGAGATGATTGTTCCGTTCCTGAAAATGGAGGAGCTCTGCTCCTCCATACTTTGGTGATTTGGACCTCTTCGTCGATATCCGTTCTTATTTTCGTGTGTCAAGGAGGAAAGTTAATTCGATGGTGGTGTACAGGCATCCTTCAAGGACGTCCCATCGTGTCGTGTCCGTTTCGGTAGTAGTACCTCCGTAAAACAGGGTGCCCGTCCTGCTCTGGTTTGGGCTTTATGTGGTTAATATATTGTTTAAATTCCATGCTCCGCATGGCAGAATATATGGAGGACCTGTCCTCCATACTTTGGTGATTCGAACCTGGTTCGACCCATCTCTGTGGTATAGAAGTACCTTTTCTGTCCTAGTAGGCTGAATTTTCGCAGATTTGACTCCTAACGTGGTGACCCCGTTTAATTCCTGTTCTCGCGCCCCCGTCATTTCCTCCCTCTCCTGAGTACTTGGCGTTCATCTCAGATCTTATTGCGCAAGGAATCATGAAGTTTTCAACGAAAGAGGGGCAAATGGGTATATTTTGAGCAGGGGGAGAACATATAGTAGATCGATTTCGCCAATAGGGCCCCTATCAAGTTGGAGAAGAAAGCATAGATCATTGATTAAATATCGTCCGTTTTTGCAGTCTTGTTAGTTCGTCGGGTGGGCCTGCCCTTCCCATTCACGAAGTCCGTCGTCACCCCACGTTGGTTCCTTTTCTAACCGCTTTTTCACCGTCTCCAGTTCTTCAAGTATCTTTGTGACCGGGATTCGTACATTGGATCGGGGAAAGTATGGCAGGAGTCTGAAGGCCGCAAACGGGTCCTGTGCTGGTGTTCTGTCTAATTCGGCCAAGATATAAGCTCCGCCTTTGTTTCGACGGACGACTATCATAGGGCCAAAGTACCGCGGCTTGCTTTTCTTCATCAATGCGTGTTCCACCTTGGAGTTCTTGACTACAACGAGGGTCCCGGGTTCGAAATCGAAGTCAACAATCTTTCCTTCGTTATCCTTCTCCCATTGACAGATGGACTTAACACGAGATTCATACACCTGGGAGCGGATGAGCTCCAGTTCTTCGGGTCTCTTGGCTAATCTAAGAGCTCTTTGAGCAATCATTTGATCCCTCGTAAGAAGCCCGTCGACGATTGGTGCCATATACGTAACTTCGGTAATGTCGAACGGGAAAAGGGGTTCCACTCCATGTGCCATATAGTATGGTGATGTCATGTCCCAAAAGTGTTTGGAGACAAGACCGAATTATTCCCTGACCAAGGCCAAGGCGAAATCATCAACAGAATACGCAGAACCCCCAATTCTCATGCCTATGGCAAATAATCCAAGATCAGGCCACTTTTCGAAATTACTAATCCTTGGTAATCAGCATGACTCATCATGACTCCGCATGACTCACCTGTCAACCGCCACACAGCAATCAAGGTAACATGGCAACACTGACAGTTCGCATCAAGCCCCGTAGCAACACTGACAGTTCGCATCAAGCTCCGTAGCAACATTGACAGTTGGCATCAGGTTTCTAAGGAAATGGTGATTCCAAATGACTGGATATGACTCATAGTGACCCATCAGCTGACTCACTATGACTCATAATTGATGGGGAATTTAGTATATAAGCAATCTGTACTGTAGCTGTTAACAGAAGAAATCCGTCACTAGCACTTTATGTTTAAGCTACACTAAGCGCTTGCACCGAGAGCGTCTTTCACGAACGTTAGGTTCCTTCACCTTAGCATACGATACCCGAGGGACCCTCACGATCAACGTTGTAATTGGATCGCCATCCCGTTGGCTCTTTCTTTTTCTATCTGGAACGATCACCTTGGCATAAGATACCTGATCGCCCCTTTTAGTCTTTCGAAACAATCTTCCTTAATCGAACAGGTCTACTCAACCTTGGTCTATGATACCCGAGCAGCCCTACTGGACATCCAGGATAAATCGGTAAAAGCTTACGCAGTATAATCCTTTTGCGAGTAAGTAGGTTGTTCATCTTGGCATACGATACCCGAGCAACCCTTCTCATTGTCGGTAAACTTCTGCTGCACGTACCTATTTACTTAGTTACATCCATACGAGCACCCGCGTCTACGTAGATCACCTATCTACTAGCTACCCCATACTCTTGTGCACGTCCCTCACTACGTACACACGTTTACCTTCTTTCGAAACTACCTATAAATCCTACCAATCCCTGATTCGCACACAGCCAACCCCCTTCCTTACTAGAAGCGATATCACATCATTCTAGTAACAACCCTTCGATACAGTACATTTCACACTAATAGAGAATCGCTCGAATAACGTCACTTCCAGCGCACCTCTATAACAAGTTATACGCACGACAGCGAGCGTCCTGTGGCTTTGCTGATAGAGACTCTCTCCACCCAAAACACATAAAATATGTGTTGAGTCCACAGATTCATATCGCTCTCGCAGGCTTTAACCAGGGCTTCGCGCACGGGATGATGCCTTCATTCAATAACGCCTTGGCCTGCCGAGTTATAACCCGAGATGCGAATGTGGTTTATGTTGAAGTGCTTGGAGAGCCAATCTACTGCCTTAATCCATGGAGCCCCGTTGTCCGTTGAGATTTGCTCGATGGCGCCCCATCTACAAAGTATTTCTTCAAAGAGGAAGGACCCGACGGAATACGCGTCTTCCGTTACCATCATTCTCCATTCTGGCCAGCTCGTTATAGAGCATATGCCGTGGGCGACCGTTTGGAAGCCATTATGTCGTGGTAGGAACATCGTATCCGCGTATACTTTGCGAAAGAGTGATAATGGCATGGCGACCATCGGAGGAATGAGGATCTTCTGCGTAGCGCGAAGTTGACATTCATGGCATGAATTCAAGTACCATCTAAGGTCTTGATCCATCATGGGCCAGTAAAACCGATCCGTCAGGCGCTTCCTGCATATGAAATAGGCCTTGTGTCCGAGTTCGTCGTGTATTTGACGCAAGATCCCGTATCGTTTATCAGGAGTCACGACAATTTTATGTTCACCGCGCGGGTCCTTCTTCCAGAGAATCTGATCCTTCATGAAGTATTCTCTTACCCGTCTAAGGTATTTCGAGTATTCGTGATCCTCTATATCCTCGGGATGGACGGGGTTGTTGAAGAAACCTCGAATATTGTCTAGAAGGGCGTCCGCCTTGACAGCTTTCGGTTGACAGGGAATCTTTTCCTGCCCTTCACCCGTTTTCACTGCGAAGACAGAAACAGTGTACTGGGAACTATTCCCGCCATAAGCTGAATAAGAATTTTCCTCTGTCCTCGCGAATGGGTTCGAGGTCAGATGGGCTCGCACGTTATTGAAGGCGGAAACCCGCTGTGTCTGGGTCTGATCCCAATTAATGGCGACGATGGCGAAACCACAGGCTTTGTCGATCCAATCCTCGGGGTCTTCCTCGTCAATCGGGTCTTCTGGCGCCCCTGGCCTGCGTGACAATCCATCTGGTGCATGCGTAATTCCAGGCATGTGTTGCAGTTCGAAATCGAAGAGCATTATTGCAGATATCCACCTATTAATCGTTGCATTGGGTTGAACATCGGGATTATTGAGCATCCCTTTTATATATTTGGCATCCGTTCTAACCAGAAGGTCTTTTACTCCAACTAGAAAAATCCTGTAGGCTCAAAGTGCTCGGAAGAGGCCATAGAGTTCAATCTTGGCTTGAGAATAACGGGCTTCGCGATCATTCCAGGTTATCGAGCCGAAGCGGGACGGATATTCAAACCCGTCTTTGCCTACTTGGAAAAGGATGAAGCCCCCTGCAATGTAGGATGAGTCAACAGATAAAATAACCCTTCTGCCCGATGAGTAGTCAATGCTGCGGATTGCTGGTGATTCGATCAAAATCTTCTTGAGCATCTCCATCGCGTATTTCTGCCTGGGACCGAATATAAATTCCATATCTTTCCTGGTTAATTCCTGCAAGGGTTTGGCATGAATGGCGAAGTCCTTCATGAAAATTCTCATAAGACCAAGCGTCCCTAGGAACGCCCTGACTTCTGTGAGGGTTTCACAATCCGGCCAGTCGCAAATGACTTGTACTTTCGATTCGTCGGGTTATGTCGGGTATCTCGTCCTGTAGAATGAAGGAAACATCGCCTTGCTGGATTTGGACGGAATTTGTGTATCCTTGCGGAAGGCGAGTAAGACGGAGCGTTCCAAGCGGACTCTGGAACGTAGTGAAGTCCCTTAGACGCTATGTCCAGGATTCTATGGTCGAATCCGACAAAGAGATCGAACATGCCGTATATTACTCGCCCACCGAAGGATTCCGCGTACAATTCCAGTATAGGCGGGCATCCCGCGTCCTTGATAGTGACTTTATTAAGGGGTTTCAAATTATGTACCAGCCGGAGAGAAGTTCCTTGATTTTTGTCGACGCAGAACCAACTTGAGCGGTAGGATGAAGTGGAGGTTTGTATACCCCCGAGGCAATTTTAGCTTTAATGATATCCACTACTTTGTCGCGTATACCCGGTGGTATGGGGATATTCCGTTCCTGCCAGGGCGTGTGTGCTAAGACGGGGAATTTGACGGGCTGGAAATAGTCCGCCCTGAACTGCCCTTTCTCCGATTCATCCCAGGCAAACACCATCTCGTTATTACGGAGGACATCGGCCGCTAACTTCTCTTCCTCTGGCCAAAGGAACCCATCAGGGTTTAGGTTCATCAATTCGAGTCGTTCGAAGGTGATCCGCTTTCCGGGCACGAAGACGGGCGGGTTCGGGTTTAATGGTATTAAATCCTCTAAAGGATCAGATGGAAATTGGCGAATTATCCTGAATTCGTCGGGCATCGTCGCCGCTACTGAATGAACCTTCTGAGCGGCTGGCGTGTACTT